AATAATAATAAAATGCATATTTCTTTTTTCAATAAAACAAAATGCTGGTAATAGATTTAATATATTTTCTTGACTTCTTAATTTTAATGCCTCAAGATAGTTTGAAATGTTGACATTACTCGCTTCCTGTTGATTTGTGAGACAGAACATGAATCTGCTTTCATAATGTAATATAATCAAGCCATGCCATGGTTGTTTGAATTCCATTGGATTGCATAACAGCCTCATTCGTTAGTCATTTGATGTTGGAAATAACCAGCACTTTGAAAATAAGTGTCAGGTTGTTGGAGCCTCAGGGCTGGCCCCTGGACAGATCTTAGCTGCATCAGACAGGTGTAGAATTTATTTAAAGCAGGCACTTTTATTGGTTGGTATCATGATTTTGATTGTTTTGAAGGGGTCAAAGATCATTTGTGTGATGATTTCTCTGTGCATTTAAGTAGCTCTAAGGTGGTTTGATTTAACCAATGCAAATTGTTATTTTTGCATTTAATGTGCTTTGATAAGCATACTAATTCTTAATGGCACTAGCAGATACCTAATATTCCGGAGGGCTAATAATTCTGACTTCCAACTGCATATTATTTCCACCCAGCAAAGGAAAGAGAACTAAATACAATAGAATAAAAATATGAAACAAATTGTGCATAAGCATCTTCACTGTAAAAAAACACTTTGGCTACAAAAGTTCAGAGCAGTGAGGGCTTTTCTTGTCGTATTAACGATAAAAACAGGCAGTCACTTTAATTGTTTCTCTTTCACATGTCTCAACTCGTTTGTTTATTACACAAATGAGGGTTAATATGAATAATCACTAAACACCGCGTTTTGACACTTATTTGACCATTAAAACGCTAGCGTTACGATGAGATGTGTGCGCTCTGCTCGTCTCAGTGTGCAAATGAGACCGAATGCTGACTGCATGCTCCTGACTGTGTGTGCGCGCCGCAGAGCAACACGTGTACAACTGGAAAGGGGTGGTATAGGTTCATGTACCATCCGTTCATTTCCGGTATATGATGCAATAATCGTTTATTTCAATTACAGGTTTTTCATAATCGTTAGAAGCCAAAACCGAAATCGGATTTTCGATTATTTGCACAGCCCTACCAGCAGGCTGTGCTTTTCAGACCAAAAATAGCCTGATTTTCACCATTTTTTTTTATGTGATGTGATATTAAATGTTAAATCTAGATTAATATTAAGGATGTGACACATATTCAAGTGTATATTTTCAGTCTTTTGTTTAGCACTTATTAAGATTATATACCACTACACATTATTATATAGCTCACCTACTTTCCAAAAGTTGCATGTATATAAAAAATTGTGTTCGAGTCTGGCCGAGCTGGGTGAATATGCACGTGCAACACCTTTAGAAAACCTAAACAACTGCCTGCCGTTAAGTTCTTTAGGGTTCCTTTAAGGAAAAACAATGAATATATTTTGTGCACATGTTGTCCAAAACTTTTAGATTACATTATTTTAAAATGTAAGTTTTTGCATAAAGTACGCAGTTAGCTTGGTTATATAAACATACCCTAATTTACGCATTTGCACAACTGTATTAAAACTAAATAATATCATGAGTGTCTTGCAAAATTATCCACAAACTATTCATTTAATGTATGACTAAATTCTTTACTACTGTTTTGTCAAGACAGTTACTCCAAGTTGCCCCTTGTTGTTACAAATAAAAGTACAATGTCAAGCGTGTCACACTGCAGACACAGGGCGGAAGTAGTCAGCCTTCATCAGCGCTCCCAAACTCAATTTCCCTGGGGGCTGCTGGAGGCAGAGTCTTGGTGAGGCTGGGCAGCATCAGCTTTTCCACAAGAAACTGGTTATATTATTAATTCTACATTTTTAATTTCATTATTTTTTCATTGTTTTTTGTGTTAAAAAGTAAAAATAAAAAGATTTAAGAAGATTGGAATTTTTAAACACAAATTAAGAAAAAAATCGAATTAAAAATAAATATAAATAAATAAATCAGTAATAAATAGTACTACTACTACTACTACTAATAATAATTAGATTTAATGATTGTATTGTGTGAGGCAATACAAATACAATGCAAGTTGCGTGATGCAAATGACCCAAAAATAACGGTGCAACCCTATAATTGGTCCAGGTTACAGGGGACTCTTATTGCTGATGGACAGGTGTCGATTTGTGAGTGCAGATGATTACATTATGCGGCATTAAGTTTCCTACTTTTATTTTATCCCTCCGCGTAAGCATCACTTTGATTTCTTTTGTTAGAGAGAGAGACCTCACATTAAAGAGTCCCTATTTTGGGTTTTTGAGAATGACCTTCCATGTAGTGTGTAACAGCTCTAAGTGAAGTGAAATATCCAGCTAAGGCTTAAATTTGAAAGTGTACAGTGTTTAAAACTGATGATTCGTTATATAAAAGAGTGTACTTAGCCGTTTTGGCGTGACATGAATACGAAACTTAAGCCCCGCATAGTTGTTGTGTGTGCGAACCCGGGAACATTTTTACCTGCAGCCCCGCCCACTAGCAAAGAAAAGAGGCTAGACCGCCCTTAGTGTTATTTTCTCTACCCAAAGATGAAACTGTGAAGAGTCAGTGGTTGAAGTTTATTTTTTGCAAAAATACCTTAGCATTATAGCCCAGCCTTGTGCTGTGTTCCCTGGAATCTACACGCTTACAGCAGGGGATTCGTCTGCCGTTTGGTAAAGTAAGGATCAGAAAAGACTACTGTTGTCAGATTTTGTCAGAGCTTGACAGGAACTTTACAGTACACTGTTCATAGACCAGTTTCTTCATCCAATTCACAAGTGTAAGTAAGTGCTATTAAAGTGGTTGCCCCCTTGTTTTATCTATCTTGCAAATTATGTATTTAATTGTGTTTGGTTACTTTAATCAATTATACTGTATCTGGTTAACTCTTTATATTCTCATATCGTGTCTAATACCATGTTAAAAAACACGACAAGTGATGCTTTGTTTACGGATTTAAATGGTTTGTTAGCTTGCGTTTCACTGCCGCTTGTTGTTGCTATGGCCATCATCAGCTGTTCTTACACACGTGCAGCGGTCAAGGTTCAAAATAGTTCAGTTTTTGCCACTGTGTGGATTAATACAAAATGTGTGTCATTGTTTAGAATAGAGCAATATGCTGGTGTTTAACTGCATACACATACCTGCCAACATCTGTTGGTGAGGTGAGGGTGAGGTGTCTGATTAACAATCAGGGCTGGAGCAAGCTGAACTGGCGCTCTAGGCGAACGACTATCACGATGCCCTCAACATGAAAGTGAAAAAGAAAGTGACCGGTTTGTAGATAAAATTGAGGACCGGGAGGGAGGGGGTGGGTATCTCAGATGAAAGTGAGGACTGGGGGGTAGGGTTGGGCGATGTTGATCAATTTGGCATCATATGATGTCTAATGTGAAGCATCATGATGGACGATGGCTTCGCCGTCGTAGGCAGGGGGTGAGGGTCATTGTTTAATATAAATGAATTAATTAAATGTAGCCTACTGTTTTCACTACCCGACCCTCTTGGTCTTTGCTTTACCCAGAACCAATGCAATAAATAAATAAAGTTGCACACAAATTGCTACAACCGCGAAAATGTGAAGCGCTGAAGATAAGAGAATAAAAATAACACTGACAGATTTTGTTTTAGAAACCACCTACAATTACTAATAATGGAATATTTTATTAGTTATCATGTGCTGAATGTAAATTCCTTATTTACACTTTTTCATAAGTGGATAAAAGACTTCCAGTGTCTTCAAGTCAGCTATAAAAATAACTAAAGCATTCACTATAAATTCTGTGGGATGGGGTTTGCAGGTAACAGCTTTTGCCATTAAATGTAAATATTTTAAGAGCGAGAGGTACTGTACATTCCTTCATTTAATCCTCACGATGCTGTCAGCCGTGCAAGCAGCAGCTATATGTAACATTTAACACAACTCATGAAAAGACCTTTATTGCTATTAAGATGACATGCAAATAATGGGCTCTATTTTGACGATCCATGCTCAACGTGCAAGGCGCAGGGCGCAAACTTATTAAGGGCTTGTCAGAATCCACTTTGTGCCGTGGCGCATGGTCTAAAAGGGTTAAGCTTATTTTCTTAATGAGTTATAGGTGTGTTTTGAGAATAAACCAATCAGAGTCTCATCTCTCATTCTCTTTAAGAGCCAGTTGCGTCGCGCCATAGCGAATTTGCTATTTACATGATAGACTTTGTAAGTGGAAAATTTAAACACTTCACTAGAGAGAAAACTGTTAAACAGAGCATCTACAGCGCGAGAATGAGAGATGAGCCTACTCATTATTTACTTTCACTTTTGCTCTCGTGGATAAGGAAACCTTGTACGCACAGACAGCCATTAGCCTCTAAATAATTAATTTCATTTGTTAAGCGCAAAGATTTGTTTTAAAACTATTTCTAAATGCAGTTCTAATTTTCAGCAAACGAACAAATGAACAGTAATAATGAAGTGTGATCAAAAAACTTCGACTATGGCATCGTTCATCGGGCCAACCCTACTAGGTTGGCTATACTGTGGTATTGTTGTGAAAATTAACTTTAATCCTTTATTCCCTGCAGCTGAATGTCCACGCCTTCAACCAAAAGATCTGAACACAATTCATTTATTCAAATTTGAGTCGACTATTTAGTTAAAGAATCAATAGTTTTAATCATCATGCACTTTCAAATTTAAATCTCACCTGGATGTTTCCATTCATTAGTGCTGTGATACACACTGCATACAAAAGCTCATTAAAAAAATATATAAAAATAATAGGGGCTCTTTAAAGTCCCAAAAAACATAAAAATGGTCCTTGTAACTCCATTTCAATATATGATCCTTAAAATGGTTTGGTAGCCAAAAATGCAATTCTTAATCCTTTTAATTTTAAATTAATTTAAATTAATTTAAATCATTATGTGGTGCAATTAGTTGGCATTTTTGTATTATTTATTCTCTGTTTTTTGTTTGTTTTGCCACCAGAAATGGCAAGAGGCTTCAAACAGAGGATCTGCCATACTCCGCTATCTGGGGGAGCAGGTCCCCCTTATTTACTGCCTGGAGGTGGAGCTTCAACATGCGGAGGAGGAGCTAAAGGTTGAGCAACGCCTCCTGTATCCTCTGGAGTACTTTCTTTTTGGAGAAGAGCCTTGTGTCGGCCTGGAGAAACTACAGCGGTACAACAGCAGCTCATCAGCTCAGCAGTGTGGACGCGTCTTCAAAGAGGGAGAAACTGTGTATTCCTGCAGGTTAGAGACCAGGGCCACTGTGGTCATGTACTTCTTGGTTAACGCAACAACCATTGTCTTCTTTTAATGTCTGTAACTGTCTGCGCTCATGTTGATTCCAATAGCAATGCTGAATCATATGCAATTATTTTAAAGTATCAGGAGGATTCATTCTATTTGTTTATTAATTTATGATTTTTACAAACGTCAGGTCCAGTTTCAGTAATACAGATAAAAAAGCTTGCATAACATATACAGTTGAAGTCAGAATTATTAGCTCGCCTTGCCCCCCTCTTAATTTTGTAAACACATTTCTAGTCATGATAGTGTTAATAACTGAGCAATTCCAGCGTCATGGACGTGACATTTGCAGTAAAAACTCAAAACATAAATTCACATAGAAAGTATACGTTAACATTATATTGAAACTTTAGTTTATATTTTCCAGAACAAGTGATCACAGAGTTAGGGGACCAGAAAAATATCAATCTTTACATATGTTTTGTACTTTAAATGAGATAAATAAACATGCGTAATGGATGGGACAAAAAGTCACTAATGTTAATCAAAATGATAAGAGTCTACTCTCTATAAAACAAAAATGATTATTTATTTTTTTTATTTTATTTAATATTTCCACTTTTATGAGGAAAATGTGTCATTATGGATGTGACATCTCTCTGTTATGAACGTGACATGTGAAATTGCCACTTGTAGGACTTTGAAAACATTAACAGATGCTTTTTTGAGTATTTCTTAAGTACTGTAAAATACTTGCTTACCCAAAAATCTCAGAAACAGTCTCCTTACTTTGGTGAAAACTTGGTCATGGCAAGGTTGACATTTGCAAGGAATTGCTCAACTAATTTTTAATAACTGATTTATTTTATTTTTGCCATGATGACAGTACATAGCTTTACTAGGTAATTTTCAAGATACTAGTATTAAGCTTAAAGTGACATTTAAAGTGCGTAACTAGGTTACTTAGGCAAGTTAGGGTAATTAGGCAAGTCATTGTATAACACTTTATTTTGATGGTCTATTTGAGTATTAGTTGACTGTCTGCTTATCATCTGTTGATACTGCTGCTAAACAGACATTTAACTGACTATAAGAAACTTTGCAAGAAATGTCAACTTACACTAACCCTAAGCCTAAAGGCTCCTACACACCAGGACGCATTTCGTTTGCGTTTATCGTTAGCGTTTTACGAGACGTTTTTCTATATTCAAACCCAAGCACTTTTCAATGGCGTCAAGCTGAAGAGTATGCAAAATTAGTCTTTTGACGTTAGATGGTGCTGCAAAACTTTAAGCTTCTAACACCCGCTTTTAACACAGAATAAGAGAAGGAGAGGATGTTCACACACTTGTTGTTAAAGTTACTGGTGACTCAAACAAGCATGGATGGTTCAAGCAGCTGCTCCAGCTCACAAGAGCAATAAGCAGCTCCACGTTCATATCGTCTCTGGGCATCTTCTTCAATGTGCGCTCGCATTGACAGTTTTGCGCTTGAGCGCCTCCAAGTGCTGTTTACTGTAACTTCAGCAGCTCCATGCACGTGAACAAAAGTGCCGATCGGATTGGTGGAGAAGGTTTTGACGTGGCGCGTCAAAACAAAAAAACTAGCATGTGCCGTTTTTTTTTTTATCAATGACGCTTTTGTGCCAGGTGTTTTGCGCGTTGGTGTGCGTAATCACATTGATGCCCTGTATTTAGTCACGAGGCGTTAAACGTTGACGGAAAACGCGAGCAAAAAATGTCTCGGTGTGCACAGGCCTTAAGCCTAACCCCAACCCTAACCTCAACCTAGTAGTCTACTTATAATCTAATAAATTCAACAAACAGACCATCAAAATAAAGTGTGATCCATCGTAAAACAGTGGTTTGTTCTGTAGGCGCTTAAGGTGTGTAACAATAATAAAAATATTGACCTTAAAAGGTTTTTAAAAAAAAATAAAAACTGCTTTTATTCTAGCCAAAATAAAACAAATCGGACTTTCTACAGAAGAAAAAAATACTATTGGAAACACTGTTAAAAAAATCCTTGCTCTGTTAAACGTCATTTGGAGACCATTCGAAAAAGAAAAAAACATTCACTGGAGGTCTAATAATTTTGACTTCAACTGTATGTTCAAACATAACTGAAAATGAGCGAATGAGGAAAAGCAAATAAATAGCGTAAATAAATTTGATAGAATAAAGATATAAATAAAACAGTGCTTTAAGTGTCTCAGACAGGTCTAAAGGTCCTGGTATACTTGAAACAAAACCAAAAAAAGAACAGAAATGACATCATTTTGAACAAAATCTGTCCAAAATTAAGTTCTTTCTGAATTCGTATGGGCAGAAAAAAGCAAACTTTTGGGGGTATTACATTTTGACCTTTGAGCTACCACTGATCCATTGTGTTTATGTAAACGGTGGGTGTGTTCAGGAGCTTTGCCTTTTTTTGAATGTGTTTACTTCTGCCCCCAATTCACTTCATATTTTTATGGAGGTCAAAAAGGAGAACAATAATAACATCAAGATGAACAAACTGAAGAGTCAAGTTGGTTTTTTTCGGAGCAGAGCAGATGTTTACGGAACAATTGTTGTTGTGTTAAGGAGTAAACCGGTACACACCAGCAACAAGATGCATGTACAACTCCACCTTCTGTAGCACAGGGGTGTGTGTGTATGTTTGCAAACAGTATACCATCACTCAGTCTATTAGAATTTATTTTGCTCTCAAACAAAAAAAGAAATAAAAAACAACTAAAGTTTGTTCTTCCTTTTAGTTTGAAGTATACTGGAGCCTTAACTGTTGACTTTTAACATTGACAGAAAGCAGCAGCTGTATTTAATTTAAATATTGAACGCATGGATATCAATATATCTGATTTCTTCCCCAACTATTTACATTCCATGAAGACACAACTGACTGTTTATGAGGAAGATTATGAGATGCAGGAAGTATTTATGCCTGCAGATTAACAGCACGCCAGCACTGGATGCGTTGTTGCTTGGTCAAACACTTATACATATTGGAACTAATACTAAGCCAAACTGCGCTGCTTAAAACACTGCATTATAAACAAGGTGAAACTATGGCAGGACAGATTGATGACTGATGTGTGCCAACACACCGTAACAATGACTTATTTTAGTAGAACTGCAATGCGGATAATTGAAAGCACAGCTGGTGTCAATATACAGTGGGGGAAATAAGTATTCAAGACATGATGTTTTTTCCTGGGAATAATGTTTCTAAAGGAGCTGTTGACATGGACTTAGACCAGATTTTGTTAGAAACCCAAACAATACTAACATAAAAATAAAACTGAAATATTAATTATGTGTAATAACACTGTCATAAAACGAGAAGAAAGTATGGAAGTACTGAAACATATATAATACTTTATAAAAGGCTTTTTTGGTTATTGCAGCTTAAAGATGCCTCTCATATGGAGAATGAATCACATGCATTGCTCAGGTGTGAGTTTTTGACTTCCAACAGAGTGTAAAAATCTTGATGGTTCTGTGGATCTCGTCTATCAGATCTGATTTTTATTTTGTATTCTCTATTGGATTCAAGTTAGGTGAGTGGCTGGACCATTCTACAGCTTAATTTGTTTATTTATTTTTTCTCTGAAACTAGGGCTAGGCGATATGGTCTTTTTTTATAAGTCCCCTATTGTTTTCCCTAACTCCATTTAAACAAATCAATGTAAACTTTACACTTGAGTTGATCAATAAAAGCAATTTATCACCCAGCCCTATCTGAAATCATTTGTGAGTTTCCTTGGCTGTGTTTTGGATCATTGTCTTGCTAAAATGTCTACCCTGGGTTCATCTTCATCATCCTGCTAATGTATATGTTGGACTGAAGGGGCTAATATGAATTTACGATGACAAAGGGCAGATGGTTCTGTATAAGTACTAAGAGATTCTAGCTGCTGTCTGGGCTTTCACTGCCTTTGTACAGCTCCCTTTCTACATGTGTTCCATACTGTTTTCCTGTGTCATTTTATTTTATTACACATAACTTCATTTGTAGACTAATTTGATTTTAGTTTTCTTTGCATGCATGGAATTATTTGGTTGTTACCAACAAATTTCAAATCAACAGCATTTTTTTTTCTATATAGATATATTTTAGAAAAGCCATATCTAAAATATTTCAGTATTGCCTTATATCAAAATATCTATATATATTTTAAATGTGATGTAAACAAATTGAAACCAAAATAAAAACTTTTTTTACCTCACAAATAATCTAAAAACCTTCAATTTCTTCATTATGCTTGTCGTTGTCAAGATACTAAACAACACTTTTCCTTTACTTTTTTTTACTGACATCACATTGTGTTACCTTAAATAGTAAACGAAGGTTCTAACATTAGTAATACAATTACATTAGTAAAATAAACTCAAGCAATGCGTCATATTTAGTATTTATTATTTTATAACCCTAAAGTACTTATTTGCTCACAGGTATTTGTATCAGATTCTAGAAAATAGTATTGATAACAGGATTGATAAAAACCGGTTTCGACTTTCGGTATCGATAAAATCTAAATGATACCCTTGCCTAATTATAAGTGTAGTAATTATAAAGCAAACAGTGTGTTTTGATCAGGATCAAATATATTATCTGTATTTAGTTATTTTTCCTCCAAGTACTTATTTGCTTACAGATATTTGTAAACAGCTAGATAGTTCAACAGTTGTAAAATGACTTAATTTATTTAATTTATTTATTTTTATTTATTTTATTTATTTTTTTACATATTTTTGATATTGTATCAGATTATATAAAATAGTATCAATAGCATTAACGATAGTCAGTATCGATAAAATCTAAATGTTATCCATCCTTAATTTTTAGTGTATTAAGTATAAAGCGAAGTGTGTGTTTTGTGCACGTGATCTACTGATTTCATTGTTTTGGAGCAGCTCCGTTCCACAGTAAAAGCAGCAACTTCTTCAATTATGTGTTGAATTTAATGTGTTTGCAATGGATTCCATGTATGTTTTTTTTTTTTTCATGCAGTTAAATGCAGATGGAAATGTGTTGGTTGCCATTGCTGTCAAATTTGTTCTATATTGCTTTCCTTTTCTTCAAGTGTGCTTTTGTTTATTTCTAGGGATTGTGCAATCGATCCCACCTGTGTGCTCTGCATAGAATGCTTCCAGAAGAGTGTGCACAAAAGCCATCGCTACAAGGTACACACACTGTTAATGATTTTTATGAATACTAGTGAATAAACTGTGATTGTTTTCGGCATGTGTATAATACATTTTATTTATTTATTTATTTACATTCAAATGTCAGTCCGTTCTTTTGTTGTGTAAATTTGTAACATCGGTAAAAAAAATCTATGAAGATTTACTGTATGTATTATTTATGAGTAGGCTCGCTTGGAATCTGTGTGCGCAGAAATCTGCAGATTTTTAGCCCATCATTGAGTCTATGTATTTACTTGTGTAAATTTATATTTGCTCAGTTTTAAATTAATTTCACTAATATTATTGTGATATTATAATAATAGTTAAATCAAGTTGTTTATATGATTTATTTACAATACAGCTTGTAAAGTAATATTTTCTGTCTTTTAGTAGATATAATATATGAGTATATGACTTGCTTTGCTTTTAAATAACCAGGAAACATGCGCACGTCTAGAATTCTCAAAGGCAGGTGCTCGATCAAAAACTGATCTAATTGGATTTGCATTGTAAACATTAAATAAAAGTTAAAAGTGTGTTTTTTTATTTTATTTCATAGATTAAGTTTTTGGTTATGATACTTCTAAAATCATTCTGCATAAATTCACAGATGTTGTTTACAAAAATTCTCAGCAGAAATAACAAAAATGTCTTCAGATTCTGTCCTGCCCTACTTATGAGTGTGAATAAGGTATTAACATTAGTTTTATTAAATAAATGTCTGATTATATATGTTTTTTTTTTTTCCGGAAAATGACGGTTGATAACGATAACATGATGATAATGATATCTATTTTAAATAAAAACTTTTTTGCTGTGATTTAAATATCAGGAGTATTCTATCAAGTATTGATTTATTTACTTTTCTAAAGTAAAAAAAAAAAGTAAAATGTAATAAAACATGTCTGAAAACATGGAACTTTTTGTTAATTTATGCAAAAAGAAAAAAAAAACCTCTAAATTATATGTTTATTTAAAAATATTGGAATTTGTTTTAAGAAATTGGAATAAATTATAGTATAATTGGAATTAGAATACAGTACAGTTGTGGTTTGTGCATTCAGAAAGAATTCATAGCTCTTAACTTTTTCCATATTTTTTATGTTACAGTCTTATTCCAAAATGGATTAAATTCATTTATTTCCTCAAAATTCTGCACATAATACCCCATAATGACCATGTGAAAAAAAAAAAAAAAAAAAAAAAAATATATATATATATATATATATATATATATATTTGAAATTGTTGATAATTTATTAATCACATGTTCATAATTATTCACAGCCTTTGCCGTGAAGCTCTAAATTGAGCTCGGGTACATTCTGTTTTCATTGAGTTCACCAGTGGTAAATTCACCTGTCTAAATAAGGTCCCAGGGTTGACAGTGCATGTAAAAACACAAACCTAGCATGAAGACAAAGGAATTATCAGTAGACCTCCGAGACAGAATTGTCTCGGGGCACAAGGCTGGGGAAGGTTACAGAAAAATTTCTGCTGCTCTGAAAGTTCCAATGAGCACAGTGGACTCCATCATCCGTAAGTGGAAGATGTTTGGAATCACAAGGACTCTTCCTAGAGCTGGTCGGCCCTCTAAGCTGAGTGATCGGGGGGGGGGAAGGGCCTTTGTCAGGGAGGTGATCAATAACCTGATGGTCACGCTGTCTGAGCTCCAGCGTTTTTCTGTGGAGAGAGGAGAACCTTAAAGAAGGACAACCATCTGTACAGCAATTCACCAATCAGGCCTGTATGGTAGAGTGGCCAGACGGAAGCCAGTCCCCGCCTGGAATGCCAAAAGACAAACTAAATTTTCTTGTCTGATGAGACTAAAATTGAATTCTTTGGAGTGAATGACAGGCGTTACATTTGGAGAAAATTTTGGCAAAAATTCCCAAAGACGGGTGTGCCAAGCTCGTGGCATCATATTCAAAAAGACTTGAGGCTGTAATTGCTGCTAAAGGGGCATCAACAAAGTATTGAGCAAAGGCTGTGAATACTTGTCTGCATGTGATTTTTCGGGCTTTTATTTTTAATACATTTGCAACAATTTTTAAAAATCTTTTCTTACATTGTTATTATCTATTGTGTGTAGAATTTTGAGGATATAAATTAATTTAAGCCATTTTGGAATAAAACTGTAAAATGAAAAAATGTGAAAAGTGAAACACTTTGAGTACTTTTTGGATGTCATTTTATGTCATTTTTCTAATTATTATATTATAATTTGTCTTGCTCCCTCAGATGCACGCCTCATCAGGAGGAGGTTTTTGTGACTGTGGAGATGTGGAGGCTTGGAAAACAGGACCCTGCTGCTCTCAACATGACCCTGGCACTGAAGCAACTATGGAGACGGTAAAGTGCACTCTCCATGTTTAGATTGTTGTCCAGTTTTTTTTTTTCCATGGACATTATTGTTGAACTAACTTCCTGCCATGAGGTCAGAGAACCAGATCTGGCCCTGCATTTGTGTGGGAAAATGACACGCTGGATGCCTGGTATGCAAAACTAGTTAGATAAAAAAAAAAAAAAAACAAAAACATCAGGCACTAGAGGAGAGAAAAGAAAGGAAAGACTTTAATGAAAGTGTTTGTTGCACAATGATCATTCAGAATTTCCCTAATTTGTTTGTTGTTTTAGTTTTTTACTTTTTTTTTTTTTTTTACTTTTGACAAAAAGTAATTATATTATGTTCAATTCACTTAATTTTTTAAGGGTATATTCAATGTCTGGCGATTCAAAAAATAAGGACATGAACGAAAACATGAAATTAATTTACAAAACGCTCCAATCGTCAATTTGTGAGCAGTTTATTAATAAAAATTTTTTGATTTAAACTCAAAAATCTTCATTAACAACTTGTTAATATAAAGGTTGAGTTTAACCTTGAGTTTAAATTGTGCGCAAATAAAAAGTAAGAATTAACTAAAGGGAAAATAACAAACAAACAAACTAACTAACAAATAAAGCTAATTTAAATGCCCAGTTTAAAGCTTTAAAATGTTTTAAAAAATCGTCAGCACCTGCGAGACCAAGACAAAAAAAATACACACACACACACACACACACACACACACACACACACACACACACACACACACACACACACACACACACACAGGGTTGAAGTCAGAATTATTAGCCCCCTTTGATTTTTATTACCCTAACCTGCCTTCTTAACCTAATTAACCTAGTTAAGCCTTTAAATGTCACTTTAAGCTGTATAGAAGTATCTTGAAAAATACTGTCATCATGACAAAGATAAAATAAATCAGTTATTAGAAATGAGCTATTAAAACTCTTAATTTGATTATGTATCTTTAAAGCTATTACTTTGGCAGTACTTGACAAGTCATGCCAAAAAAACTTTATTTTATATTTAAATTTAATTTGTTTAAATTCATTTAAATTTATTTTATTTAAATTTATTTTAATTTTTTTTATTTTCTTTTATTTTATTTACATTTATTTAAATTTATTATATATATATATATATATATATATATATATATATATATATATATATATATATATATATAATTATACTTTTAATTGTAATTTATTTCAATGTATTTTAATTTGTTTTACTTTATTTTAATTTTAACTTTATTTTGTTTTAATTTAATTAACTTTTTTATTTATTTATTTTACTTTATTTTAATTTATTTTTAATTTGTTTTTTTTATTGATTTAAATATATTGAGTAAGAGAGAGAGAGAGAAGACGGCATCCATTATTTACAGGCTTAATACTATAATCAAAAACTAAAACCATTAAACCAGGAACAAATTTGTTGCTTGAAATACAATTACCATAAACTGAAAATAAAAGAAAAAAACTTCATTTTTTTAGCATCCTACCAAGGAAATATAAATTATGTTTAGTTTAATTAAAAACTAAATCTCAGTAAAAGCTGAGTAAAACTATAAAGACATATAAAAAGCAAATGCCATGTCTTATGTCAGCAAGTGATGATGTAGTGATGATATTGGATGTGGACATGACTGGGACTGGGCTCTGGAAAAGCAGATGTTGTGATCTGTCGGAAGTGATAAGATCAGAGCTCCAGATCTACACTCGCTCGTTCACTTTACCACATCCTCACCTTTGTGGGAAAACAGCAGGTGCTTTTTCAGTGTTTGACACCCTCAGGCCAGATCTGAACACGCACATAATGAACATGACAGATGGGCCAAAGCAACAAACATCACATCCTGCTCAAAGGGCCTGCTGGGTTTGTTGTATTTTTCTTTATGTGCAGTCGCATTACCTGAGCTTTTTTGGGGGGGGGGGGGGGGGGGGGGGGGGGGAGGGGTGTTTGTGCGTGCGTGTGTTTTTTTTTTTTTTTCTTTTAGGTTACTGCAATTACCGAGCAAATGTACATAAGAATATAAACAAATCTTGTGTTTTTGTTTGTAGCAGTGAATGAAGCCACCTAAAAGGTTGGAAAGGAATAGTAAGCTGAAAATTTTAAATATTTGAAAAATGATTACATTTACTAATAATTTATTACCTAATAATTTTAACTTTTGATACACTTGGCTCAAAGATGTAACATTAAGGGAGATGACATGGCGAAGTAAGCATAATATTTATTTTAACGCAATAGAAAATAACATATTCAAAACATCAGTATCAGTATGTTTAATCAGTGTGAATTGCAAATGAATGGATGCAGTAAGTTTTGTCAGCAGTGATGGAAAGAGTACTGAAAAATCATACTCAAGTAACAGTATCATTACTTGCCTAAAAATGTAGTGCAAGCAGAGTTAAAGTATCTGTTGCAAATATTACTCAAAGTATGAGTAAAAAGTAGACCTTTCAAAAGCACTTGAGTAGTGAGTATTACGCTGTAAAAAGCTGATGCATTTACATGTTATTTGTTTGTAAACGTAACATTCTGTAGTGCATTAATTATTGCCCAGCAGGCACACAGTATAATAAAATGTTATTATTAGGTTAGACATAGGTTGTAATACCATGTGACCAAAATTCAAGTCTAGCCAGTGTCCAAGGACAATGTTATTTTGATGTCTAAAAATGACGTTGATATTTGATTGATTTTAGGTTGTGTTAGAAAGTCATCAAAATCCAACGTTGAGCCAACATCGTAAACCAACATCAAATACTGATATTTATTCATCAGGTATCGCAGCTAAAATTCAATGTTTGATAGACATCATAGTGGTAACGTCCACACAACTTCAAGCATTAAATGTCAAGTCAGACATTGATATTTGGTTGATTTTAGGTTGGAAGTTGATATTGGCCTGACCAATTTTCATTTCCAAACAAAATGCAGCATCCCAATCTGACATCATGTTGACGTCTTGTGCCTGCTGGGTATTTAAGGCCATTTTTTCATCATACTGTAAAAATCTGTCATCTTCTCACCAGTGACATGCATCTAAACAGTCTCTGGTTGTGTAAAGATTTTGGACATCATCTTGGACACTTTTCATGCTTCCAAACTGTTTGCAATTATAAATCGCCCATGTCCTAAGCTAGTTCAGTATGATGCGATTTATCTTTTTACTTTCTATGTGTGATTTGGTTAAACAGAAATCACAGGACTGAATTTCCTAATCCTCATAGATAGGAAAAAATAAAGTATTGACTGCAGGTTGAAGGAGAGTAGTGGAGTAAAAACACAGATACCGCACTAAAAATGTACTGAAGGGAAAGTAAAAGTACACATTTTAAAAACTACTTAGTAAATTACAATTTCTGAGAGAAAAAAAACCCCACTCAATTACAGTAGTTTGAGTGTTTGTAATTTGTTTATTTACACCACTGGTTGTCAGTGCTAGTGCATTTATGCACAACAAAACATAATGCCACAAATTGGAGCAGAGCTTTGACCAACTCCCTTAAACAATAATGGAACAGCGGCTCCAAATGAATGAACACTCGCACTTTGTTTAAATAAGAGCGATAGGGATCATCAGGTGAGCTGAAGTCACACCCCAGCCTACAACAGACAAAAAGATACAAAACACAAACCAAAACAACGCAGTCCTAACACACCCGCCTTAAAAAATCTCATGTGAAAAAAAAAAAAAAGATTTTACAATAAATTAACATTTTCACTTTGGGGTGCACTCACTTTTGTTGCCAGGGGTTCAGCTATTATTGGCTGTATTTGTAGTTATTTTGAGAGGACAATAAATTTACACTGCTATACACACTTTACACTGACTACTATTCATTGTGTCAAAGTGTCATTTTTGCAGTGTTGTCCTATGAAAAGATATAAATAAATATTTGCAGAAATCGGAGGGGTGTACTCACTTTTGTGATATATATATATATATATATTAACACATGCGTACATGGAGTAGGACAAGTCACGTCAATTGGAGACCAAACCAACATCACAGGGGCACAAGACAAATTCGCTTAATGTGTTTAATTGTTAAGTTGTATGGCTGTAGGAAACATATCCCTTGCATTAGTTATTGACCCGGACTCTGTAATGAGTGAAGAAATGTCAACTGGGGACCCTCCTCCCACATATACATCAAAATGTTGAAGTGCCCAGATAAGCGCCTGTGTTTCCTTAGGCTAATGACTAATTCAACTAATATGAATTACATTTTTATGAGAATTTATTATTTGGTTACTAAAACCATCAGAATGAGTCTGAAGAAGAACCAATCCGGCCCCCACATGACTTGTGTCAACCTGATTCTCAAAGGGAAGACCTCTCTGTGACCCTGCTAACACAGGAGTATATACTATTTTTCATTCTTAAAAGCTTTTTGGCAATGTGGAGTTCACTCAAACTTAGCAGAGTTCTTTAACAGATTAATCAGTGGACAAATGACTGATGGAAAATTACCAATGTTGAGTTAAAGTCACGACCTAACATACAACCGACAAAAAGATACAAAACACTAACCAAAACAAAGCAGCCCTAACAACCTTTACTCAACTGTAAATGAGTTCAAGCCAGTAAAATCATGAAAAACCACATTACATGTCCCTTTGTTACAGTTGCTTGTGTGTGTGTGTGTGTGTGTGTGTGTGTGTGTGTGTGTGTGCGCGCGCGCGTGTGTGCGCGTGCGTGTGTGCGTGTGTGCGTGCGTGCGTGTGCGTCTGTGTTTGTGTGTTTGTTTGTTTTTTTCAGGATGAGTGTGTGATGGATCCAGGCCTTCAGGAAAGGGCTCAGATGCTGTTCCACCTGCTGCTGCAGTACACAACAGACATGCTGATTTGGGAGGAGAACAATGACCTGTCAGAAGAGCTCAAGCCTAAGTAAGGCCCAATCACAATTCTATTTTTGTACTCCTACCCCCTTCCCCTTGGCCCCTAAAACCAAGTGTGAAGGGGAAGGCCTTCAAATTTTACCCCTAAAGCCTGGTTTATACTGAACGCGTCTGCTAACCCCAACTCCCGAGATGAAGAAGGCATAAAAGCAGTGGTTTTTCATATTTATGTAGGCTAGACAATAAAATGTTTTGTAATATTTTAATCCTTTATATTTATATCCTATACATATTCTTATTATATCCTATATATATATATATCCTTAATATTTAAATTTTTCATATGTAAAGATATTTGCGCATTGCTCTACATCTATTGTGTAGGCTATTAAGCAGTGTGTAAGCGAGGCGCAACTCTGCGCTGGAGCTAAGACCGGGTTTGGTTTGGTCTGATGAAAAATCTATTATAGTTTCTCAAAATAGCAATGCGGCAGCAGTGCGCCTCAGAACGCCTTCCTTTTTAGACCAGAACGCCTATGGGTGCACATATGAGCGCAAATGCATTTGCTATTTAAACAACATGGTGCAAAACAGCAAAACGACACTTGCGTCAAGCTGAAACTAGCAAATAACATTTGCGCCGTGTCTTGCGCCGCATTGCACGGGGTGTATGATAGGGCCTAAAGTCAGCTTTATCGTCAATTCTGCCACATGTATAGAAATACAGAGAATTGAAATTGTTACTCTCAGACCCTGGGTGCAAACAAATAACAAAATCACTACAAGAGGAATGTAAATGTACATTAATATACACAAATTCAAAATTACATCATAACAGAAGACAGTTTTGTGAGGTGCTGTCTCGAAATGACTTTGAAAAAGGTTAAAGATTAATGTTGTTTTGTGTTCAGAGTGAAGGAAGACAGCTACTTCTGTATCCTCTACAACGATGAGCATCACTCATATGACCACGTCATCTACACACTTCAGCGAGCCATCGCCTGTGACCAGAATCAGGCTCAAGTTTATACTGCACTTATTGACAAGGAAGTAAGTATCCCGACCATCTGCTTTCTACACTACCTGACAAAAGTCTTGCCATTGATCGCAGTTGTAAGAGCAACAAATAATAACTTGACTTCTAGTTGATCATTTGGAAAAGTGGCAGAAGGTAGATTTTTCTGATGAATCATCTGTTGAACTGCATCTCAATCATCACAACTACTGCAGAAGACCCATTGGAACCTGCATGAACCCAAGATTCTCACAAAAATCAGCCAAGTTTGGTGAAGGAAAAATCATGGTTTGGGGTTACATTAAGTGTGTGGGGCGTAGGAGAGATCTGCAGAGTAGATGGCAACATCAACAGCCTGAGGTATCAAGACATTTGTGCTGCCTATTACATTACAAACCACAGGAGAGGGAAAATTTTTCCGCAGGATAGCGCTCCTTCTCATACTTCAGCCACCACATCAAAGTTCCTGAAAGCAAAGAATGTCAAGGTACTACAGGATTAGGCAGCCCAGTCACCAGACATAAACATTATGAAGCATATCAGAGGTAAGATGGAGGTATTAAAGATGAATCCAGCGAATCTTGATAAACATCTTGATGAAGAACACTTTCTTTGCCATTTCAAATGACTTTATTTATAAATTAATTGAGTCATTGCAGAGATGTATGGATGCAGTCCTCAAGCTCATGGGAATTATGCGCAATATTAATTATTTTTCCACTGCACCATAATGACTTTATATTCTATACTGTACATTATTATTTGTTAAGTGACATGACTTTTGTCTCAGCAAAGTCAGACCTTACTGTCTTAATTCAATCATTCAAAATCAAGGCATATATATATATATATATATATATATATATATATATATATATATATATATATATTTTTTTTTAAATAAGCGTTGAGGCCTTTGTATTTCATATAAGACACTTCTACTAAATGATCAACTAGAAGTCAAGCTAATATTTGTTGTTTCTAAAACTTTTATAGGTGACAAGGCTTTAGTCAGGTAACGTATGTGTCGCATGGTTAACCAAGAGACTTTTTTATATTAGTGCTGTGATTCTTATGGCAGGGGCGAAGAGCAGTGAAAAGAGGGACTCTCAGAACCTGTCAACAAGCCAAGGACAATATCAGGGTAATCATAACTCACTTACATTTTAACATTAAATGCTAACATTTTGTATATGTTTCATGTGAATGTAATGTACTGATCATTTACAGCGTAACTCAGAGCACATTATCCAGAAACCCCTGCGTGTGGAGGTTCTTCACACTGCGGTTATGGCTCATCAGACTTTCGCTCTCAGACTCGGTGCATGGTTTCAGAAGATCATTGGCTATTCAGGTAGACTATTGGAAGCACTGACGGCACTTAACATTTTTTTCATAATTTTCAGGATATTTAAGATATGACCAAAAAGTATGATTAAAAATGAGCCCCGCTGATTCTTACAGTGCAAATGATAGTGATTCACTCATTATTAAATCGTTCATAAATGGGTCTTATTGTAAGTTGTTAGAATTGTATTCTAAATATAGGTCACAAAAATGTGATCTGTTTTTTTCAATTAGTAATACAAATGTTTATAATAGTTGCTGATGTTTGCCTCGCATTTTAAAATCACATTCAGATACATATTACATTTATTACATTCATTCATTCATTCATTCATTTTCTTTTCAGCTTAGTAGCTTTATTATACAGGGATCACCACAGCAGAATGAACCGCCAACATATCCAGTATATGTTTTACGCAGCTCATGCCCTTCCAGCCGCAACCCAACACTGGAAAACACCCATACACTCATACACTTGCATTCACACACATACACTATGGCCCATTTAGTTTATTTAATTCACCTGTAGCGCATGTCTTTGGACTGTGGGGCAAACTAGAGCACCCAGAGGAAACCCAGAGGAAGAACATGCAAACTCCACATAGAAATGCCAACTAACTAAGCCGGGGCTCGAATCAGTGACCTTCTTGCTGTGATACAATTGTGCTACCCACTGTGCCATTGTGATGCCCAGATTTATCACATGTATTTTCTTTTCGGCTTAGTCCTTTTATTAATCTGGGGTCACCACAGCAGAATGAACCGCCAACTTATCCAGCATATCTTTTTACCCAGCGGATGCCCTTCCAGCTGCAACCCATTTCTGTGTAACATCTCATAATTACTATCAGTCAACTTTTGATTGTAAATCTTGAAGATGTTATTGATTTTGTAGTGATTGGATTTATTGATCTGCAAGTTTTGATTTATGTTTTGTTTATTATCCTTCTTTATTTTTATTTGTGTTTTTTTGTTATGTTAATTTGTGTTTACCTTTATGTTTATTAGTTTGTTGTGATTGTGATGCACTGTGTTGTTCTTCTGTTTTATGCTAAAGTTGGCTTCAGGGATGTGTTCTGCCAGATGGCTTTAGAGCCGGCCTCCGACAATGATAAACTCAGCCTGATCAGTCGATTAATGCTGCACGATGCCAAACTGTATAAAGGTCAGTATTGCAATCTCTACTGTTAGGTTATGAATTTTTAATAGTAATTGGCATGCTTGGCACCGAATCTAAACATGTTTTCCTGTAACTCTCCTTAGGAGCCCGCAAGGTTGTCCATGAGTTAATTTTCTGTAGTTTACTGATGGACACAGAATACAAAAGGCAGTTTGCCATGAAATTCACAGAGGTATCATTTTACAGCTGTATTTAGTTTCACATGTATTTGATGTTTGTTTTTAATGTGTGTTTAATATATTCAATGTCACCTCACATTTCAGCACTATAAGCAGCTTCAGGAGGACTTCATCAGTGATGACCATCAGAGAAACATCTCCATCACAGCCCTGTCTGTGCAAATCTTCACTGTGCCCACTTTGGTATGAGTGAAATTACAGCAATTATGTTTTTACTGTCCAACATCTGTCTGTATCTTCTGAACTGTTTTCATAACTGCTCTCACTGCAGTTATGAGTTTCCTGCTTGTAAATATATAGAGTACTGTTTATTATCTTCATCTTTATTTCTATAGCGCTTTTACAATGCAGATTCTGTCAAAGCAGCTTAACATAGAAGTTGTTGGGAATTGAGACTGTGTCAGTCCAGTTTTCATAGTTGAAGTTTAGTTCAGTTTAGTGTGGTTTAAATTTCACTGCTTAAAGTCCAAACACTGAAAAGCAAATCCGTCGATGCGCAGCTCCTCGAGTCCCAAAACAAGCAAGCTAGTGGTGACAGTGGCGAGGAACAAACTTCACCAGTTTGTGAAAGTAAAGGAAAAAAAACTTTCAGAGAAACCAGGATCAGTTAAGCTTGACTATTGTTTGCGCAGAGCTGTAGTCTAGGCACCAGAGGCTAGTAAGCTTCAGGTCTGAGTAGTCACTGGCAGGTGTTTAGGCAAGGCTACGGGATCATTGTGAAGACTCGTCTGTCACTGGGGTCTTTCAGGAATCAGTCTCATGCTCTCCACTCATTCATGACCACCGTAGCATCTACTCAAGATACGGCCGGGTTCAGGATTATGGAGACCTCAGGATAATGTAAAACAGACTAGCATAAGCGCAAAAATCATTCAAATTATAACGTCTTTTGGGGAGTGTTCTCAGCTCCAGTTGTCATATTTTATGCAGCCTTAAGCCTGATTTATACTTCTGCGTCAAGTGACCGGCGTAACCCACGGCGCAGGCAATGCGCGTGGCTGTGCATTTATACTTTTATACTGCGCTGTCTCTGTTGGTCTGCATTAACACTTCCGAAACGCTTGTTGACAGTGAGGTGTAAATGTTCCTTTGTGTCGAGTTTCTTCGCTGCTTTTTTGCTTTTCCTGAACAATTCCGGGATGTACAAGTGGCTCAAACTTTCTCATTTTGAGGCAGGAACCGGCGGACGTGCAGCAACTTTAACTATGAGGTAAACACAAAACAAAACTTTCCATCCGGAGCTCCTTCACGGGACTCCACACTTGTAAACAATCGCTACATTGGGTTCGCGCCATTCGTGCGGCTCCCTGTCCCGCCCCGACTCGTCAGCGCTACCAAGCCGACCAAACACAGAGCTTGCGCTACGCGTTGTTGCGACATGTAGTTACAATTTTTGAGAGGTGCACATCAGTGACTGCGACGGCCACGGCAAAGGGCTATGCGTCAGCGCCGTAGCATACGCCGGTGTTTGACGCAGAAGTATAAATCGGCCTTAACAATTCTTTAGAGCAGGGGTAGGCAAACTTAGTCCTGGAGGGCCAGTGTCCTGCACATTTTAGCTCCAACTCATCAAACACACCTGCTTATAGATTTCTAGTTATCTCCAAGACACTGATTAGCATGTTCAGGTGTGTTTGATTAGGGTTGGAGCTAAAGTCTGCAGGACACCGGCCCTCCAGGACCAAGCTTGCCCACCCTTGCTTTAGAGGATTTGAATTTCAAAGCATTTGTCTTTTGTGTGTATACTAATGCAACTGACATTGATATTAAATTATTTATTAGTAATAGCTCTATTTAATTACAATTATTATAATTATTACACAGTAATTACTGGATTTGCAATTTAGTAATTACACAATCCATACATTTTTCTTTAAGGATGCCCCAAAATTAAAATTCTGGTCCAAATCCCAAAATTCTGGATGCATTTTTTACCAAAATCCAAACCGGAAAAAAGCTTTGTTTTAAGAATCCCAATAGTTGATAAGAAAGTGTCTGGTGTTGCATATAGATTGGATAGAGAGTGTCACGTACAGGTGTTTTGTAAAGCCCACTCGCATTAGTGAGGCACACTTTAAAATTGGCAAATGATATTAGAAGCATGGAGTGTTGATAAAGAGTCTGATTCATACTGATAGGACATACAAAAGCACACTTATTTGCAGAAATGTTGTAGGGCAACTCGATTATATTAATTATTAATTATTAATTAACATTATTAATTAATATTAATTATTGATGAGTCTTCAGATGCTTCCTGAAAATGCCAGATACTCATCTGCTCATGTAGAATTTGATAAATCATTCCACCATGATGGAATATCAGAGGTAAATGTCTTTGCAATAGATTTTATGCCCCTTTGGTATAGTACTACAAAGAAGCGGCTTCATTAGATGAATGCTGGGTCCTGCCATCCACATCAGCTTGAAATAGTGGACTCAAGTAAATGTGTGCAGAGCTAGCAGTTATTTTGTAGGTGAGTGACAGTGTCTTGAATTTGTTTCAAGCTGTGATTCACTGTGTGACGTACACTTGTTGGTCTCGCTGCTGAATTCTCAGTTGCAGAGGCTTGGTGTTGTCTGGGAGGCCAGCCAAGAGAGCATTGCAATAGTCCAGCCTGGACAGGTCAATAGCTTGGACAAGCAGTTGATCAGCATGTTCTAATAGGAAGGATCTAGCTTATCGAATCAGTGGTGAAAAAAGTTGAAGTTAATCATTGGGCTGGTTGGGATTACCAGCAGTTCAGATTTAAAGAGATTGAGTTGAAGGTGGTGGTCCTTCATCCAGCAGGAAAAATCTGGGAGACATAGAGTTGGGTGTCATCAGCACAGCAGTGGTAGGAAAAAAACAGACTCAAGTGATGGCATGTAAATCAGGAAGAGAAACAGGTCAAGAACAGAGCCTTAAGGCACACAGGTGGCAAGGCTCAGATACTTTACTTTCCTAAGAGACCCTAAAGTAAAGAGCGGTTCCTGAGATGCCCATTATCGTGAAGGTAATGCCTTTTATGAAAATTACTTTAAAACGTATTTTTAGCAATCTGAAGGTTTACAGAAGCTGGAAATACATTTCATTTGATTCATACATGTACACAAATGTAAACTGTCTATAAAATCACTTTTTAGTAAGACATTTCATACTCTTTTTGTTTATTAACATGTGTTTATATATCAAAGTAAAATAAACCTAAATCATACATTTAATCCAGAGTTTGCTTTTAAAATCGTCCTGCTGTTATCAGCGCAAAATAAATGTTGAGACGTTCGAGGCCACCAAGGATTCATTGGTTGTGTCCTTCATTACCTGGGAAACGAAGAATACACTTTGAAAGCCTTCAAATTTTTTTTTAAATGAGACAAGCCTTTGTCACACTGCGATGACGCAGCTCTCTTTGGAGGATGCAGCCTCTGAATTGAGGGCCTACTGACACTATGCCATCTGTACCATGCCCAGGCCTGTTTCCTGGATTGTTTGAGAAGTGTGAGTGTGCTGAATCAGGCTCAAGCACGGTTCACTTGGCCGGCCCTGGCCCGGTTGGAAGAGGTGGGCCTGAGCGCGGTTCACTTGAGCTTCCCTGCGGTACGTTTGTAGTGTGAGTGCAAAACGCGCCAAAGCCCGAAACTGAAGGGCGGGACGTGACTTTAAGGGACTGTTTCATATGGATATATTAACCAATACTGTTCAGTGAACGCAAACTGCCATAGTTTATTAAAAAGACACAAACCCCTCACTGCACGAAAGCTGCGCGCCTTCACCAGACCTCCTCATTCTTGCAGCACGAGGACTTTATGATTGTTTATGAGCGTCAAAAGTGGCGGATCTGTTCGGCGAAATATCTGACTGCGTGTCACCGCATCCCTAAGGACTGTTTGGCGAAATGTTTGACTGCATGTCACTGCATAACAAACGACAGAAACGATATAACTAGAGAAATCTCCACTGTGCTGCCGAGTGAGAACGCTTCTCTATAAACAGCGCAGCAGCGATGACGTAAGCGTGCCGAGGCCCGATTGGGGTGTGAGTGCGGGCCGTCGGGGGAGACGGAAGGAGGGACAAGCTTGCCTTGGCCCGGTTCGAGGCAACTGTACCTAGTGTGAGTACGGCCTAAGACACAGCTTGAGAGCAGTGCAGTCTCAGTGGAGTGTTTGTTTTTGAAACTTTGATTGGTCCGATGACCCAGTCTGTTGTGATTGGTCGACTGCGTTCAGAAAGAGACAGAGAAAAAAACCCCCACCATAGCTATGAAATAGCAGCCAGAGAGTATGTGAGAGCCTAATGCAGGAATGCAATAAATGAATGCAGTTAAAGACCAGTATATTTTATCTACTCTTAAACCTAACCCCAAGTAATAACAACGACACACGTTCAGTGTTAATCCACACAGTGGCAAAAGTTAAACTATTTTAAAAATTAACTGAGCCACGTGTTTGTAGGAACAGCTGATGGTGGCCATAGCAAAGACAAACAATAAAGGATTGCAACTTAGAAACTCAGTAAAGGAAGAAACATGCGTCTCGTTTTTAATGTGGTTTTGGACATGATATGTGAACAGCCCTATACAGATTTAACCTGAGAGATACAGTACAAGCACTGATCTATTATCGATATGTGATAACAAGCCACGCAACTTATAACTTATAACACACACAACTTATAACACTCAATTAAACGCATATTTGGCAAAATACAAAAAACAAGGCGACAATTTTAATGACACTTACTCTAGGTTATGATCTGTAGGAAGAAGAAACTGGTCAATTTGAACTGTAAAAGTTACTGACAAAGTACCTTTTAAAAAATACATTTTAACGGAACTGGAAGTACATATTTGGTGATGTACGGTATTGAAGATGATGCAATCAAACAAAGATCTGAACCCAACTAAATTCATTTATTCGACTTTGAGTCAAATTTTTTGCTTAAGAATCAATAGTTTTAAACATGCTGCACTTTTAGATTTCAACCACAGCTGGATGTTTTCATTCACTTAGAGCTGTGTTATAAACTGCATGGAAGATCATTTTCAAAAACCCAAAGTAAGGACTCTTTAACTTTAGCAATTTTAACTAGTGACATGTACCGTGTCCTGTATCGCCATGCTAATGACATCACACACCCTTGATTTCTGATTTGGTTTTATAAAAAACAGGAAAACCAAAGATGCTTTAATATGTTCTGTGTTTGAGTCACATAGCAACATTATAAGTCTGTGGCAAAATGAAAGCTTCATTGCTTTTGTGCTATGTCACACTTGTCTATGCTTATTGCTTCAATTGCTTCCTTACTCTTGTTTCGACAGCTTTCAACCTACCTTTCATACTACCATGATATAAAGTTTAAAATACTTTTCCTATAGGATGTATTGAAGACCACAACTCCCATGATTCCACACTTGCATCATCAAACTATGCTTTTGTCTGTTGTAATTATGCGCACTCTAGTGGCGAATATTACATTCTGTGCTTTAAATACCAGGCAGAATTGCTGATGCTAATGGCTCATTAGTTCTTATCAGATCACTGAAAGTGTATGGTAAAACTATGTGGGAACAGGTCCATATATTCTGACAGAAACATCATTTAGCATTTCATTTGATTACATTTTTTCTTCCAGGCGAGGCAGTTGATTGAGGAGGGCACAGTCATCAAGGTCATTATAGACACTGTAATGGACATGATGAGGGAACATCTGGACAACAACCACCGCTTCCACTTCCAGGGCCACAACCCTGACAAGTTCTTCCGGGTTCAAGTTATCTTCCATGATCTCAGGTCTATATAAATACTGTTTAAATTCTGGACAGTGGTTCATTTTTGACATTTGACTCGATGCAGATTTGTGTCATCCTGCATTTTTTCCAGGTACATTCTAATCAGCAAGCCGTCTATTTGGACCGAGGCATTACGAGTGAAGTTCCTCGAAGGTTTTCGCGTCTTTCTTCACTTTCTCGGCTGTATGCAGGTAATGCTTTCTCCCATCAAAAGCCTTTTAATTCACTTGGATCTGTAGCTCAATGTCTCTTGGTTGTTTTTCAGGGGATGGAAGAGGTGAAGAGGCAGTTTGGTCAGCATGTGGAGGTGGAGCCCGAGTGGGAGGCTGGATTTACACTCCAGATGCAGCTACGCCACATTCTCGCTATGTTTCAGGACTGGTGCTCTTCTGACGTAAGTCACAGCTAATCGAAGATCTAGCTTTCTGCAGTGCTTTTTCAGGGAGACACACAAGCATGACAGATTGGTGATAAGGCAATATTAATGAAAGAATATGATTATATAATATAACATACAGTGAGAGGTATTAAAAGTAAATCAAATAAATCATTCATTCATTAATATTCTTTTCGGCTTAGTCCCTTTATTAATCTGGAGTTGCCACAGCAGAATGAACCGCCAACTGATGAAAAGTAACAAAAAAGTGGATATAGATAGATAGGCAGGCAGGCAGGCAGGCAGGCAGGCAGGCAGGCAGACAGACAGACAGACAGACAGACAGACAGACAGACAGACAGACAGACAGATAGATAGATAGATAGATAGATAGATAGATAGATAGATAGATAGATAGATAGAGTTTTAGTCATCAGCTCAATCACTATATGTCTTTTACTAAAATGTGTTACTCTAAGTCCAGTAGATCAGGGGTTTTTCAAACTTTTACGACACATGCCCCCCCCAAGATTGTCCAATTTTACTCGCGCCCCCCCAGGCACCCCTCCTTCGAGCCAAAATTATAATGCATGTGCAAACATCATTCACATATTACTTGCTGCGTTTTAAGTGTGTAGCATTAATTACATTGAAACTTATACACCTTACCTGATTCAGTGTGATGGCTGAGCCTTTTTCTGTGAGGACAACATGCTAATCTGTGCTTGGATTCCTGACACAACTAACTGTAAATCATCTTCCAAGTTCGCAGAGACCTGAGGGTGTGGTTGAGTCGAACGTTGCATATGTTTACCTGAGCAACAATACTTTAATACAATTAAGACAATACTCTGATTAAGAGTCACCATGTAAACAGCGATTTTTTTGATTACCTTAATCCGACTAAAGTCATAACTGAGCTAAACAGAAATGGAATTGAGACGTGGAGTATGCAGATATTAGTGGCATTATTTAAGTCAACACCGCAGTCAAACTCTTACCGTCATGTAGGAATTTTCGCCACATTTGTGACAAGATCCAAGTAAAGGACCGCACACGCACGCACGCACACAACACGAAATGCAGAAGTTTTTTTCTTTCCATTCGGCGTTCGGTATCAATCATTTGTGTCTAATACCCCAGTTTGTCACAGGGGCATAAATGAAATGTTCAGTGAAAGTTAAACCACCGAACTGCAGTTAAAGTCGAGAAATTGAAGATTAATCACCCAACCCAGATGACACTCTAAAGGAAACGTGAATAGCCTGGTGACGCAACGTTTAAAAAGCACATTTATCTTATTGTCTTATTCAGATTAAGGCAAATAACTATTACTGATGTGACGTATGTAAACATAATCAGTAGTCTTCAAAGTAAGTGAAAGATCCAGATGGTCCTGTTAATTTAATTCAGATGGGCAAAAATTTAATTTAATGTGATGCTTCTTGTTAAATCTGAGACTTACTTTATAACGGAAATCACTCATGCAGTGGAGAACGCTGATTTTTAAAGAAAACAGACCTCAGATGCGCTGATTTTTGCTTTGTCATACAGTTCACCGGAAGCACTTAACCCAGGTAACTGGCAAATTAAAAGTCCTTCTAGCATGAATATTAGAGCTGTGGTGATTAATCAAATCAAGGAGCGATTCTACATCAATTCTGTGATGTAGTTTTGTTTTTATTTTTTCGTAATTCATCGAAGCTTGAAGTTTTTAACAGCAGATGGCGTTCTTGTCAAGTTTTTAACCACGCAAAAAAAAAAACGAAAATAAATTCCCGAATGATTTTAAAGAGAATTATGCAATCCAAAAATCTCAGAATCGATGCAGAATGATGTCTCGATTCTGTTTATCTCCACCGCTGCATTGCGTTTTGTAATCATATTCATGGAAAGAAACTAATGCTCCCACAATAAAATTTTAAAAATCATCTTCAGGGTACAAGATTCTTCAAGATGCTTAGCCCAATCACTTGAATTGCCTGTAGTCTATGTTTAAAGCTATTACTGTTGCATGGCTGATTAGCTTACAAATCTTGTTTATCCACTGGTTAATGAATGACCTGGAAACGTGACACTGTGTGTGCGTGTTGTTTACCCACAGGAGCGGGTTCTGCTGTTGGCCTTCCAGGAGTGTCACAGAGCTCTAATGTCCTGCACAAACCAGCCCTTCCGGAGCGAACCGAAAGACAGCTACATGTGCAAGCAGATCCTCCACGCACGGCCATATAAAGTATCCCAGGAGCCTGTCTCCATCCATTTGCCCATCTCCAGACTACTGGCTGGTTAGCACAATTTATCTATCCGAAAATGACATTTATTTATTATTGTTTTTTTTAAGATTTATGTTTGACGTTTATTAGATAGGACAGTAATTAAACAGGAAGTGAAGTTTGAGAGGGAGAGGGGGGGTGGGGTTGAGAAATGTCCTCGAGCCGGGATTTGAAATCTGGAGGCCCTGACATGCTACTGCACCATATGTGCGCTAACCACTAGGCTATTGTGCTGACCGAAAGTGACATTTGAGGGTTTTCAAAAAGAGGTCTTTATATGCTTTTAACAAATTAGATTTTGTAATGGAATCAGCATCTTAATTGTAGCCTTGGGGTTTCTTCCCAGAACATTTACATTTAGTCAATTAGAAATGTGCTCCTCATAGCATCTAGAATAATTTATAAAATTTTATAAAATTTATAAAAATAATTTATAAAAATAATTCGATGAGTTTTTCTCTCATCTAATATAATGATAAATGTGACGGTTCTTTCCCAACTGTTCACTTTTACAGACATAACCAACATTATTTGAACTCCTGTGGTTTTTATCTGCTTTTGACACAATTCTGTGACCCCGTGAGACTTTTATAATCATGACAAGACACAAGGAGATTTTATGCATGCTTATGACAACTGTTATTAAGTGTCATTCGCTCAGTTATGTCTCTTTATATGCAAAAATGACACTGTTTGAGATGTCTTTGTCATGACAACTTGACATAAACTACACATTTATTTTTCACAATGTAAATAAATACATCAGTATGTGGATAGGAGACCACATGGGAGAACGAGGTTGCTGTTGGAAGTAGTATTAGTGAGGCCAGCAGGGGACGCTCAGCTTGTGGTCTGTGTGAGTCCTGATGCCCCAGTAAACTTAAGGGGACACCATACTATTAGTGGGCTCCATCTTTTGAATGAGACGATTAACTGACTAAATCCCATAGCACTTCTTGTAAAAGAATAGGTGTGTAACCAGGGCTGGATTAACTTAAGGGCTAGGTAAGGGGCCGGGCCAATCCAGAAATTCTCTGTTAATAAAGACAGAAAAATGAAAAGAAAAAAGAAAATGTATTTTATAACATCCTCGTTTAGATGTCAAACATGAATTTTACCCTATATAGCCTATATGACACTTAATAGGGGATTCCCCTTTATTTAAGGATATTTAAGGAAAGTGTTAAGTATTTCAGCACATAAGAGCAAGTAATAAAATATAGCCTATGTTTCATTGCGCTCAGCAGCTATCCACTAATAAAGCTCTTCATGTATTTTAGAAAAAAAGAGAGCCTAGCCTACAGAAAAAAAGGTTGCCTAGTTTCTACTTTTGCTCGCCCAAAAAATGCTCTGTTTGCATGATTTGATTAATATCATCGTATCCAAATACTTAATAAATAATATTTCAAACCTTATTCAGTGTTTATTGTTTTTAGAAAAAAAAATATATATATATTTATTTTTTCAGACAGGCCTTTGTAAAATGAAAGTTTAATATGGCTTTTAAACAGTTTGATTTATGTAAGCTATTGTATATACCTAATTTGGTTTAGCTTTTGTTAGTTTTATATTGGTTGATTTATTTAATGCGATTTTATTATATGCAATGTTTTTAACTCTTTAAATTATTTCAATATAACTTAGGCTATTTTATGAAGATATGACACGATTGTTTTGAGCATACAAAGGTGGACACGAAATTTGTAAAGTTTCATGTCTTTCTGTTGTATTTGTATTTTGTATTATCTCCAAAATAAAAAACAAAAAGCAAAAAGCCCCTCACGGCATCAACAGAGCTGTGAAGAGAGTGACTTTTCCTCAGTCTCACGCACATAAACAGGCATCTAAACACGCACAAACACACCTTTTAAACTTGACAAAAACTCTCGACAACCTTTACTGTCTGCTGTGTCTTTAATGTGGTGTAAAGATTATTATGCATTATTGAAACATCAAGGCGGACGCAGCAAAGAAAAGTCACTTATTTAAAAGGGAAACACGGGTAATCATGCGCAAAAACACCCCAGCCTATAAGGCCAGATGTTTTCTTTCCCTTATTTATTTATTAGTTTGGCGCATACTCATGTGCGATTGGAAAACTTTGTCCGTACTCCGCCTCTACTTTCACTCCGCCCCCAAGCCCCAGCTGGCCCTCTTTGGCCCAAGGTATTTGGCGGGCCGAAAAAGGCCAACAGCCTGATTAAGCCCTGGAAGTGACAGTGGAAACGCGACTGGCCTTGGCTCGCCCTGGCTCGGTCACTTTAGGCGCAATAGTGCAAACGCAGCTAATCAGAATATTGATTAGCCCTGTTTTAGTCATCCATAAGGGTGATTAGATGTCCCAATATTCCCAGCACAGTCCCTTATTTTGGCACTACCACAAGAACTATCCAGCAATAGTCGTAGAGCAATAAATAAAATTCAAATAGTCTTCATCATTGATACACTTGTACATGTAGTAACAGAAGCTGGGATATGCGGAATCATACTGAATGGACTCATAACTGAAGCGCAGTCTTGGTCATGTAGCGGTTACAGCTGGACTCAAACTGGCGCGCGCCCGCACAATCCTTTCATCACACAACATAACTGAGACAGTGTGCGAAGACATCAAATAGCCTACACAAGCAGATATTAAAATATCCGTCAATGTGGAGTATCTGTCTCGAGTAAATACGCTTGTTATGCTTTACAGTAAGTCTAACTGAACCAGTTAGAAAGCAAACTTTATGAATGTTTATTTTGCCCCTTTTATGAAAACAATAATAATATGGAGCAATGAAATATTGGTGCTGGATTTCTTTAGACATTATATCTGGTGCAATCAATAGATAAATAAATAAGTAAAATAAGGATGCTAGTCTTCTGTAACTTTTCTGAAGCTATTTTGGATATTAGAAGCATGGATATTAAACATAATAAATCATTAGAGATCTATGGTCAGCTAAAGTTTTAAATAAAGTTTTTAAAGGTAAACTCCTATTTTAAATATTTATTCTGATGCACTAATTTAGGAAGTATTGACATTTCTTTTATGGATTTGCTATAGCCCCAGGGCCCAATATGTTCTTAAGCCGGCCCTTGGTGTAACCCTGGTGTCCTGGCCAAATTCTCTCTCGGCCCTTAACCATCATGGCCTCCCAATCATCCCCATCAACTGCATTGGCTCTATCACTGTTTCTTCACTCCACCTATAGCTGGTGTGTGGTAAGCGCACTGGTACCGTTGTCCTGTGGCTGCTGTCGCATCATCCAACTGGATGCTACACACTGGTGGTGGTGTGGAGAGACCTCCCTCATGATTGTAAAGCGCTTTTGGTGTATGGCCACACATGATAAATGTGCTATATGATACACATTACATTTCATTACATTACATAACCTGTCTTTATTATGTTATGACACCTTGACATTACCTAAACAACATAACTTGTCATAAATCTGTCATAAACATGATTGTCACAAGGCCATTGTAAACTAATTGAGTCTAATATGCTAATTTGGTGCTCAAATAACATTGTTTAAAAACACTTGTGCTACCAAAATTTTTTGTAAATTGTAATTTTTTCTTATGATTTTTTTTTAATTAAAAAGGTCAAAAAAGTAACATACCTGTATTTAAAATGCAAATCTTTTGTAACAAGTGTAAAAACTATTATTTTTGAGATTCAGTGCAATCTACACTGTAAAGGTTGCACAGAAGCCTGTCTAAAGTGGCATTTATGCGTCTTTATGCAGCTCAAAGGTGGCATTAATGTATTTATTACAACTGAATACTGTGATACTAAAGGCAAAAGAGAGTCAGAGCAGACTTTAATGTGACATCATAACTTTACACTGAAGAGCAGACTTGGGGGGCGGTTCACACAGAACGAGTTTTTCTTTTTCAATACGCTATTTTTCTATTGTTTTTCCTGCTCTTGACATAATCTGAAACCTGCTCTTGACAGATGTGTATGTAACCATTCCGCTTGAATCTAGGATCTTTTTAAGTGATGTTGACATGAGTGTTGCGTTTTTTTAGATGCCATGTCAAGTTTTAAAAAAGGCAACTTCTACTTGCAGCGCAGCTCATCAGAGTAATTTCCAAAGCAGTGGACCAATCAAAAGAGCTTGGAGGCGGGAAGAAGTGCTTTATGTAGTGATTATTTATTTATTTATTAATTATTATTATTAATTTTAATTTTTTTTACAATTTCTGATTGCTGTCTCACATTTTTTTAGAAGAAAATTAATGTGTGAATGAGCCTTTTATAAAAACACCCTTTTGACCCCAAAGCATTGAACAGCCGCTTGTTTGTTTTTTTAATCCCTGTCTGTATCTGCTTTCAGGTTTATATGTGCTGTTGTGCCAGACTGGAGCAATCCAATACCTCCCTGACTTTGTGGATCCTGTGAGTATAACTTTAAAGGGATAGTTCACTCCAAAAATAAACATTTCTTTGCCATTTAGTAGTTCTAAAATGTGATCAATTTCTGTCTTCTTTTGAACCATTGACATCCATAGTAAAAAAAAAGACTTAGGACGATTACTATTGAAGTTTTTTTTTCCATCATACGTATATATATATATATATATATGTGTATGTATGTATGTGTGTGTGTGTGTGTGTGTGTGTGTTCAAAAAAAGAAAGAAACTCAAATAGGTTTGAAACATGATGAATAAATGATGCCGATTTTCATTCATGGGTGAACTTTCCCTATAATAATAAAAATGTGTGAAATGTGAATCTGTAGTTCTGTTGTTTACAGGTGTGTTGTGCTTGTGTGTGTGTTCCAGGCACAGCTAAATTTCACTGAGCTCGCAGAGCAGCCTTTGCGTTGTATTGTTTTGGCAGCTCAGGTTTGTGCCGACATGTGGAGGAGAAACGGCCTGTCGCTTGTCAGCCAAGTGAGAGCAGCATCTGTTTATTTTAAAGCTCGTTCACACATTAGATGGCACAAAAAACAGTGTCCATTAGTTGTTATGGATGCAGTCTGTGTTGTGTTTTCATTTTGAAAATATACAGCTATGAAAAAAGCTGTATAAGACCTACAGCAAAGAGCTTAGAATGACCAAGAGGCGACACTCGATAGAACGTTCCATTGCAACAACAGTGCCCAGCAACAACCCCGAATTCCGCCATTTTGGAATGAAAGTGATCAGCTGTGCATTGGATCTTATTGCTATCACGATGGCAAGGAGCTTTGTTTTTTATTCATTTAAAAAGTGCATTAAAGCTGAGATACAACCTGAAAGTCGACAATACAACACTTACTATCACAATTATCAACACTTTTCATCAATACTTTTATTTTACAGACTTAAAATATCCTGTTGTTCTATTGGAATTTTCGTTCCAAAATGGCCGCCGCTATATCTAGTGGCTGTTTCTCAAATCGAACTAGAGTGTCGCCTCTTGGCGATTCTAGGCTCTTTGCCTACAGTAAGCTGCATCTTAGTTTTCAAACTACCTCTTCTAAATAGTGTTGGAAAACAGAATTCAGCCCAATCTAAATTCTACCTCTAAACCCTTCCCCTTATGTGAATGTGGTATAAGGGAGGTATGAAAGTTTTCTCTGAATACACTACATTTAAATAGTGCTAATGTTACAATCATGATTTCCACAGAAACTTTTTGAAAAAGGAAAAAAGCTAAATTACGCAAAAGATAATCTCTTAATTACGCTGCAAAATTTTAAATTTACACAACACAATTAAAATTTTGATAGCCTAAAGGCCCGTGCACACCGGGACACTTTTTGCTCGCATTTTCCGACGACGTTTAACACCTTGTGACTAAATAAAGGGTGCCAGGCATAAAAGCATCATTTAAAAAAAAAATGCTTCATGCTCGTTTTTTTTTTTTTTTGACGCGCTGCTTTAAAACGTTCTCCAGTCAGATTGGCACTTTTTTTCACGTGCACGAAGGTGCTGAAGTTAAAGTAAACAGCAGTTGAAGTCGCTCAAGTGCAAAACTGTCAATGCGAGCGCACATTAAAGAAGATGCCCAGAGGCGATATGAACGTGGAGCTGCTTATTGCACTGGTGAAAAATAATCATTTCTTCATCGCTAGAGCTGGAGCTGCTACTTGAACCATCCATAAGAGCAAGGGTGTCAACTTTGTCTTCTTCTGTGTTACAAGCGGGTATCAAAAGCTTAAAGTTGTGTAGCGCCATCTAACGTCAGATTTTGAATACTCTTCTGCTTGATGCCAGTGAAAATTGATTGGGTTTGAATCCGGAGAAACGTCTCAAAAATCTGATGATAAGCGCAAACGAAAAGCATCCCAGTGTGTAAGAGCCTTTACACAATGACTTGAGAGAACAGGCCAGTCTGTCAGAAAAGTATATTGCATGTGGTCACATTCATCTATTGTTGACATTAATAAAGAGCAGTGCACTGTGCTTTTTATGTTACTATGCAATCACTGTATCAACATTCTTGTTGTTGGAGCGCATGATGTCGAAGAACACAAGGTTTTCAATTCACTCATACTGAAGATTAGTGTCAACACTCAAACTGTGAATTATGCTCAACTTTAATATGAAATTGAAAACTATGCATTTGCTGTGCTTACAATCTATGCTAGGGATGACATGATGAGGTGTGCGTCTATTAATGGTGTCTAGTTTCTTAGGGGAATATATTTATCCCTACCCCTTTACACTCGTTTCAGAGAGCCAAGGGGAAGGCGAATGGGTAGGATAAAAAGGGCTTAAAATTACTATAGAATAAAATTAGTATTACTACGTTTTTAGGATAGTCTACTATTTCCTTTAGAAATTTGAAGTGCACATGCATACATACTGTAATGGCTAATGTTACCCACAATACATTGGACCTCAATTCGATTAGAACTACAAACATGGATAAAAAATATGTACTACAAATGCAAAATATTGACTATACAGCGACTAATATTTAGTGAAGAATAGTGAGTAATAAATAAATGGAAATGCTCCGATAAAGAGGTTTGAATGATTGACCTAATGGAAAATAAAACATTTATTCCCATTATGTGATCTTTTGTGCAGACATGTTAGATCATTTTGAATAATTATGCAAACACCCGGGGAGAATTTTTTTTTTTTCTACATGAAAGACCTGCAAATGGCAGATTATTTTCCAATGGTAGGACATTAAATGTGAAATCATTGTAAAATATGTGACGATGATAGACAGGGCACATAACTAAGCAACAGAACATTCCGTTCTTGAGGAAGTAGTATGTCCCAAAGTTTGCATAATCTACTGTAACACTAAAATGTATGTATTTTTTAAATAATAATAATAAGTCTTTACATTTATAAAGTGCTTTTCTGGACACTCAAAGCGCTTTACACATTTTTGGGCGAAATCTCCTCGTCCATCACCAGTTTGCATCATCCACTTGGATGAGGTGATGGCAACCGTATTGCTAGACCACACACCAGCTTATTGATGGAGAGGAGACAGTAGCTATGTTTCCATCCACCTATTTTTATGAGCATTTTGTGTATGTGCATAATGGAAACGCCAAGATGTGCATAAATTTCGAAAATGCACATAAAATCATGTGATCATGAAAAAATTGTGTAAATGGACAAACCAGCGGCTGAGCACATTATAAAACATCTGAAATGTTGTTTTGGTCATTCTAAAACGCCTTACCGTTTAAGTAATAGCTTTATTATATCATTATTAACCTCCAGAATCAAGAGCGTCTGACACCTTCAAACGCCACTGCACAATCACTGCCTGTCAGGATTGCCTTGTGAGGCGCAAGTCATTTATTGAATGAAGAAAAGATTGATGTAGCTTCCATTACTGCAGCAAATTCAGTTTTTTACTGTTAATATGTGGAGCCAGTTAATCAGGAAGGGGCAATTTTGTTTGCTTTGACTCGTTGGATGGAAACGCTGTTTTATTCGCATGTCTTTTATGCGATAATCCAGTTTTGCGCATAAAGTTCATTCGCATTTTTGGATGGAAACATAGCTAGTGATAAAGCCAATTATGATAAGGGGATGGTTAGGAGGCCATGATGGCCAGTGGGAAAAAATTGGCTGGGGGTTAAACCTTTTTTAATGACCACAGAGAGTCAGGACCTTGGTTTAACATCTTTTCCGATAGGACGACAATCACTGAGCAGTATAGAATGCCCATCAATATACTGAGGCATTATTACTCACATAGACCACAGGTTGAGCGCCCCCAGCTGGTCTCACTAACACCACTTCTGCCAACCTTGCTTTCCCATGTGGTCTCCCATCCAGGTACTTACCAGACACAGCCCTGCTTAGCTTTAATGGGTGACCATGTGAGAGTTGCAGAGCGCTAGCTGCTGACTAGTGCTTTTTTTTTTTTTTCCTTACCCAAAAAAGTACATACTTTCAGGATGTAGTACATGCAGATGAATTGGGATGCAGCACTGACAATTTTCTGAATTAATTAGGAGTTTCAGTAAAATGTTACTTTTCGTTTAGTTATATAAAATTCTGATAACATTCCTTTCAAGATATAGTGTCAATTACAGCAATGTTTTAATATTGTATTCAAAATGTAATGGAAACTTTTTAATCAACATAATACAACAAATAAAGTTTTTCAAATAACTATATAAAATGATAAAATATAAAATGATAAAAATGTGATAATAATTGTACCCAGCTTAAACATAAACATACCTAAGAAAGAGAGAGGAGGATGGAGAGAGAGACAAAGAGAGTAAGTTGGCCTCAAAGAGCCTGGGAGCAGTAGAGCCAGAGAAGATGGCCTCCAGAGAAGGAGAAGAGCAGAGCTCAGGAAAACGCATAGAAGAAAAAGACACAGAGTGAAGTTTAGGTCTATTTTGTCTGTTTCTTGACCATGTGACAAAAGCCCAAATACTGAGACATTCAAACTGACCAATGTGAAGTGACCATTTCGTAAAAACCCCAAAGTCCACACACCAGGCCCTGATCTAATCAGTATCTGCCGTTGGAATTTGTGTGAGCCTTTTTTGGTGAAAAATGCATTTTTTAGCGACATAGACAAATGCATATGGTAATTTAGGCTCTTACAGTATTTTTTCTTTTTTTATTCATTGAAATTATTATTTGTACATGTTTGGATGTGCATGTTGATTATTAATGCATTCCACCTTTTGCTTATGTTTGACTCTGTTAGGTGTATTACTATCAGGACGTTAAATGCAGGGATGAAATGTTTGATAAGGATGTTATCATGCTGCAGGTATGTGCAAAAAATAAAATATAAAACATTTATTCAAATAAAAACAATTATATAACAACAAATAATATAGTTAATAAATAAAATGTATTTATTTAATTATCACATTGTCTAACTCTATGCAGATTGCTGCTTCCAAAATGGACCCCAATCATTTCCTTATGCTTGTACTTTTGAGATTTGAACTTTTCGACATTTTCAATGGCAACTGCTCCAGTAAAGATCAGGTGAGTTAGAGAGGGTGAGGTAAATATATTAAGTCATTTAAATATATTAATTATATTTAGTCAAGTCTTATTAATTTATTTAGACTATGTTATGGTAAGTGCATGCTTTGTAACTTATTTAAATTTTTGTATTGTAATTTATATCATACACCTTTTGTCCTTTATCATTGATTTGGGTAATTTTTTACTCCACAGGAAGTACTGAAACAGTGGAACAGGTTAACAGAGGAGATGCTTTACTTATTAATCATCATTGTAGGCAAGTTCTCTCTTCTTGACATTGTTATTTTCATGAAATGTGTTTGCTATTTGTTTTTGATTGATTTTAGTTGATCATTTATCTTTTGTTGCCTTCTGTTGATGCGTTATTAATTCTGAAAATGAGTTGAAGTGCTGCCTTTGTATTATTTTACCCTATATATTTTGCATGTGAAATATGCAGGTGAGCGGTATGTACCTGGAATCAGTAATGTGACCAAGGAGGACGTCATTATGAGGGAGGTCATTCATCTGCTCTGTATTGAACCCATGGCCCACAGCACCTTGATCAAAAGCCTGCCTGAAAATGTACGATTTTATTTTATTTTAATTTGATTTAATTTAATTTAATTTATTTTATTATTGTTATTATATTTTATTTTTAATTTATTTTATTATTGTTATTATATTTTATTTATAGTTTTTTTTGTTATTTTGTAATTTTTTTTTATATTTCGTAATTTGTTTTTTTATATTTCTATTCATTCTTTTTTATTTTATTTTATTTTAGTAGTAGCTCTAACTGATAAAAAGTCATTATTCAAGTGATTTTATGAAGCATTGTTGTTACTTGTGTTGCAGGAAAACCATGAAACGGGTCTTGAAACAGTCATCGCTAAGGTTGCCAATTTCAAGTGAGTTAATTTCACCAAATGTTAAGTATTTTATTACAGTTATTACACTATTATTAATGATACATAGTATGTCACAAAAGTGAGTTCACCCCTCCCATTTTTGCAAATGTTTATTTAAAACTTTTTATAGGACATCACTGCAGAAATGACTCTTTAACACAATGAATAGTAGTCAGTGTAAAGTGTGTATAGCAGTGTAAATTTATTGTCCTCTCAAAATAACTACAAATGCAGCCAATAATAGCTAAACCCCAGGCAAAAAAAGTGAGTACACCCCAAAGTAAAAATGTGAAATGTCAATATTTTGTGTGGCCACCATCATTTTCCGGCATGGAGTTGACCAGAACTTCACAGGTTGCCACTGGAATACTCTTCCACTCCTCCATCACAAGATTATGGAGGTGTTGGACATTTGACAACTTGTGCTCCTTCACCTTCCTTTTCAGGATGCCCTAGAGGTGTTCTATGGGGTTTAGGTCTGGAGACATGCTTGGTCAGCACATCGCCTTTACCTTCAGCCTTTTTAGCAAGCTAGTGGTCATCAAAGAGGGTCATTGTCATGCTGGAACACCACTCTGCAGCCCAGTTTCCTGAGGGAACTGCTTCAGTATGTCACAGTACATGTTAGAACTCATGTTTCCCTAAATGAAATGTAGCTCCTAAATGCCAGCAGCATGCATGCAGCCCCAGAACTTGACACTCCCAACACCATGTTTAATGGTAGGCAAGACACACTTATCTTTGTACTCCTCAACTGGTTGCCGCCACTCACGCTTGACAACATCTGAACCAAATGGGTTTATCTTGGTCTCATCAGACCACAGGACATGGTTCCAGTAATCCTGGTCCTTAGTTTGCATGTCTGCAGCAAATTGTTTGCGAGCTTTCTTGCATCATCTTTAGCAGAGGCTTCCTTTTGACCACAAAAATGCAGACTAATTTGATGCAATGTGCGGCGTACAGTCTGAGCACTGACAGGCTGACCTCCCATCTCTTAAATCTCTGCAGCAATGCTCGAAGCACTCATTCTTCTGTTTTTCAAAGACAGTCTTTGGATATGACAGTGAGAACGTGCACTCAGTTTCTTTGGCCGACCATGGCGAGGCCTGTTCAGAGAAGAAATTGTCCTCTTAAAGCACTGGATGGTCTTGGCTACTGTGCTGCAGAGCAGTTTTAGAGTGTTGGCTATCTTCTTATAGCCTAGGCCATCTTTATGTAAGGCAACAATTCATTTTTCAGGTCTTCTGAGAGTTGTTTACCATGAGGTGCCATGAACGTTTAGTGGCCAGGTAGAGAGAATGTAAGAGCTTTTATACCAAATTTAACTCACCTGCTATCTGTGGATACCCGAGACAGTGTAACACTAATAAGTTACATGACACAGGCGAAGAAAAATCAGTAATTGTGCTCAATTTTTACATTTTCACTTTGGGGTGTACTTACTTTTGTTGCCAGGGGTTCAGCTATTATTGGCTGCATTTGTAGTTATTTTGAGAGGACAATAAATTTACACTGCTATACACACTTTACACTGACTACTTTTCATTGTGTCAAAGTGTCATTTCTGTAGTGTTGTCCTATGAAAATATTTGCGGAAATGGGAAGGGTGTGCTCACTTTTGTGACATACTAATATATATATATATATATATATATATATATATATATATATATACACACACATTATAAAATACTAAGCAAACATGTTGACATTTTTTGTTGTTGTTTTAGGAAACCAGGAGTGTCAGGTCATGGCTTGTATAATGTGAAGAAGGAATGTCTGAAAGAGTTTAACCCCTTTTTCTATCATTACTCCAGACCACAGCATAGTAAGGTACACAATGCGCCTGTTATCTCATGAACTATATTAGCTTATTAGTGTTGAAATGACTATAAATATTTTCATTTTAGGCAGAAGAAGCTCAGAAGGAGAGAAGGTCTCAAGAGAGCAGTGAAAAAGGTATGTCATGCAAATTAACAACAATTTATATTCACTGATAGATGTGTGTAACATGATTATTGATCTCTCTCATTATCCATTCTCAGGTACAGCGATTGGTGATCAGCCAAACAACAAATCAGCCAAACAAAACAGTCAAACAAAACAGTCAAACAAAACAAATCAGCCAAACAAAACAAAACAAAAAAATTAAATCAGACAAACAAAACAAATCAAACAAACAAACAAACAAACAAAAAACAACCAATCAAAACAAAAAACAGCCAAACAAAACATAAAACAAAACAGCCCAACAAACATAAGAGCCAAATAAAACAAAACAGCAAACAAAACAAAACAGCCTAACAAAACTAAACAAAACAGCCTAACAAAAATAAACAAAAAAACCCCCCAAAAAAATTAGACAAACAAAAAATAAATGAAAAATAACAGCCAGACAAAAAATATAGCTTAGCAAAACAAACAAAACAAAACAACAGCACAAAAGCCAAACAAAACAACAGCAAAACAAAATAAACAGCCTAATAAAACAAAACAAAAACAGCCAAATAAAACACCCAGACAAAACAACCAAACCAACAAAACAAACAGCCAAACAAAATAAAAAAACTACAAAATCTAAACAAAAAAAATGTGTATACATAAATACATTACAAATATTACAAAAAAGCCCAATACGCTTTCCAGTATGAGCATGCAGTGATTGATGATCAAACCCCAAAATTCTGATTGGAACACTCTAAATTAAATAAAAATTAAGAAACAAATTTAAGTAAATGAATAAATAAAACGTGATGTCTAAACAGATAAGAAATTATCTAAACAAACCAGGTAAATACATTAAACAAATTATAAAAAAAATATAAATACTACTTCTATTGTACAGTGATTGGTGATCATACCCAAAAATGCTGATTGGAGGACCCAAATACAAAATAATAATAATAATAATAATAATAATAATAATAATAATGTGATATTTGGCCTTGCTCTGTTTTAGCTCTGCGTCCCCCAGTGCCACCACCCTTCCGTCCAGCATTCTCCAGCATTGTGAATCTGCTCTGCTGTGACATCTTCATCCATGTTTTGAGGAGGATTCTTCAGAAAGCAGTGGAGGATCGTTCAAACCAGTGGACTGAACCAATGATCCAGCGGGTACAGCTTTTACTGCTTTATTCCTCACAGTTTCTTTTTCTTTTTAATAATATAACCTTTTTGGGAATGGAATGGTCGTTTCAAAAGAATATTGTTGGAAAATTGTACAACGGCTAGTTCATTTAATTTAAGGTAACAACTAAAACAATGTTATTTGTGTGTGACTGCAGGCACTGCATCTTGTAGGCCAGGCTCTGCTGGAGGAGACAACACAGCTGGAAAACAGCAGTGCTGAAGAAGTGACCTTCGACTTTAGTTTGAAAGCAAAAAGTAAGATCTCACTCATCATCTTGAAAGTGTACTGTGCTTATAATAAACATTTAGCTTAGGTAATCCACGCTTTTGCTTCTGTAATTTTATTGTTTTACTCAATCACAGTTATCTGTTGGTCATGATCTATGACATGATATGTAAAGGCCTAGTGTTTTTAAATGAAATATATATATATTTATATATTTCGTTGCGTTTAATGAGGAAACACGCTAAATTTGTAGGGCTCATGCTGAAAGGCAGAGTAATGCCCTATCTTTGACAGCTCGCGACTTCACCAGAGACTTTCTGAGTACAAGTACATAAGACACCAATACTCCGATTTTAATATGATTAAGATTATACTCTTATTAAAAGTCTACCGTGTAGCCTAAGCAGCGATTTTATTACCTTAAAGCAACACAGAGTCACGAAATGCGGAGGATTTTCTTGCTGTTCGCCATGCGGCATCAACTTACAACAGAAGTCGAAAGTTAAAAATGAAACACCCGAAATTGCATGAAACTCTGGGTAACCTGTGATGCAACTAATTATTTTATACTGAAACTTGCCTTCAAAAAGTGCTTCCTTGGACTTATCCACATTTCTTGCATGTTGAACACATGTCCACCACAACAGGAAATAAACAAAAAACCTGCAACTGCATTAATTGTGTTAATTTTTAATCGATATAATCTATATATATATATATATATATATATATATATATATATATATATATATATATATATATATATATATATATATATATATATATATATATATATATATATATATATATATATATATATATGTGTATGTATGTATGTGTGTGTGTGTGTGTGTGTGTGTGTTCAAAAAAAGAAAGAAACTCAAATAGGTTTGAAACATGATGAATAAATGATGCCGATTTTCATTCATGGGTGAACTTTCCCTATAATAATAAAAATGTGTGAAATGTGAATCTGTAGTTCTGTTGTTTACAGGTGTGTTGTGCTTGTGTGTGTGTTCCAGGCACAGCTAAATTTCACTGAGCTCGCAGAGCAGCCTTTGCGTTGTATTGTTTTGGCAGCTCAGGTTTGTGCCGACATGTGGAGGAGAAACGGCCTGTCGCTTGTCAGCCAAGTGAGAGCAGCATCTGTTTATTTTAAAGCTCGTTCACACATTAGATGGCACAAAAAACAGTGTCCATTAGTTGTTATGGATGCAGTCTGTGTTGTGTTTTCATTTTGAAAATATACAGCTATGAAAAAAGCTGTATAAGACCTACAGCAAAGAGCTTAGAATGACCAAGAGGCGACACTCGATAGAACGTTCCATTGCAACAACAGTGCCCAGCAACAACCCCGAATTCCGCCATTTTGGAATGAAAGTGATCAGCTGTGCATTGGATCTTATTGCTATCACGATGGCAAGGAGCTTTGTTTTTTATTCATTTAAAAAGTGCATTAAAGCTGAGATACAACCTGAAAGTCGACAATACAACACTTACTATCACAATTATCAACACTTTTCATCAATACTTTTATTTTACAGACTTAAAATATCCTGTTGTTCTATTGGAATTTTCGTTCCAAAATGGCCGCCGCTATATCTAGTGGCTGTTTCTCAAATCGAACTAGAGTGTCGCCTCTTGGCGATTCTAGGCTCTTTGCCTACAGTAAGCTGCATCTTAGTTTTCAAACTACCTCTTCTAAATAGTGTTGGAAAACAGAATTCAGCCCAATCTAAATTCTACCTCTAAACCCTTCCCCTTATGTGAATGTGGTATAAGGGAGGTATGAAAGTTTTCTCTGAATACACTACAT